GACTCGTTGGCGACTCGTTGGCGAACTGTCGGCGAACCTCGCCACTATCTGTGAAGAATTCACAAACAGCTGGTGGCACCTGATCGGTGAAGATCAGAAGCTTTTGTCAGCGACTTCAAAACTCGTGTTGGAAAACTCTGGAGCAAAGACTGAAACATTTACAGTCGTCTTTTTCAAACAGTTTGTTTTGGGATTATTTTCCGATACGCAGTCAGCTCATCAGAGTCCAGTCTGCTGAAACCCACCCAGTCAAACCACCAGGCGGCGCTGCATCATACCATTCTACGACGGTGTTGTCCGGCCCCACCCCGGCAGGCAGCAGGTAGTTCCTGTAGTTCAGCAGCTTGTTCTCTTTGCAGCAGTCACGCACCCAAACATGTGACACGCACGGCACGCCGCTCGCCAAACACAGCAGGTACTTCCTGGTGCGGCAGTGCTGGTCGGCGATGAGCAGGCTCTGATAGGCTGCCTTACACTGAGAGGGAACCAATCACAGAACAACACAGACTGAACACCAACCTGCACAGTTTGATTCTTTAAAGATCTTTTCTTTAACGCTATGAAATAAACACAGTGATTATAAAGAGTTCATGTAAAGAGTCCTGATTTCAGAGCTGCACAGTTAAAGGGTTTGGTCTGGACGTTTAGCAGCGTCAGGAACTAAGAGACAGAAGTTAATGCTGCGTCACTGAAATAAAGACGACATGAAAACATCTGGCCACAGCGAGGCGCTCGATGAGGTGAAGGAGAAATCTCATCAACGTGAGAACAATGTGAAAAATATCGTTTATGAATTGTTTTAGAATCGTACGTTGAACTGGATAATTATCCAGAAGAATAAATGATGACCTGACATAACGTCCAGTCTTATAACAATGTTTGAAACTGTAATAAAAGTTCCACTCACCTGCTCCTCGTTGAAGTCGGGCAGGATGAAGCCTCCTCCCGCCTGCAGCTGAGACTCTGTGTACGCTTTGTTGAAGGGGCCCGTCTGACTGTGATCTACAGAGGAAAAACAAGACTTGTGTTTACTGATGATTAAAAGAAGCTTCAGATGAGGAAGATGAGGAACCAGTACCCATCTCACCTTCCTCCTCCGCCTCCTCTTCCTCTGTGAGCTTATTGGTCAGCCGGTCGCTCTCTGACGACACCGTCAGCATGAAGGCGAAGCCCATGAAGAGAGACGCGTTCTGAGGCTGCGGACCCTGAGTCTCCGACAATTCACCAGACGGGCCGGGGAGGTCTGTGCCGCTGCCGGAGGTGTTACACACTCCGACCCGCTGAGCTGTGGACACGAACACGCCAACACGTTAACGTCCAAAAGACAAACTGCAGGAATCAGATCATTTCACCCAAAATACAAATAAAAGTATTTCCTCATTTTAAACGTGATCGAGTTGTGTAGGTTCTTGTCGTCACCATGTTTGTTTGTTTGTTTGTGTTTGAAAACAGCTCGACTGGATGAAAATAAGTGAAATGCACCCGTGGAAATCACCTGAGCTCCTCCCTCCACCTGTGAACCACCACCATGATAAAACTACTCGTTATTCAATTACCAGATTAGTCTCAGAAGCAGCCGCCGGACACACGTCACATGGAGGTTAAACTCAAAGACAATCACACGTTACTGAGTCCATACAAATAAAAACTACATCCAATCACTTAAGATTTTAAGATTTAAGATTTAAGAAATCACATTCTAGAGGAATCACATTGTTCAATTAAAATTATTTTGCATAAAAGCTTCTAAAAACCATTAAAAAATTATGTGTTAAAAAAACAACGACGACCAATTAAAACTTATTTCCTAGAATCTGTTCAACTTATTCAAGTCGGACGTCTCTGAAACCAGCTTCTTTCAGTGAGTTGTTTTTTGGACCATGACCACATTTACACGCTGTCATGGTTTTGGTGAAGCGGTCTCTGTACCGGCTCTGATGCCCGGACCCCTGCGGCCTCTCTTGGCCGTCGTCCTGTCGTCCTCGGAGGTCGTCCTCAGCTTCCTCTTGCCGGAGGGGCCTGGGGTGCGGGGGCTGCTAGAGGAGGTGCGGTTGGGAGTGTCCTGACCTCCAGGGGCCACTCTGCGCCTCCTCTTCCCCTCCACCAGGTTATCTGAGGGAAAAGAATCGTCACAGAGGATCCACAAGGACAAGAGACGTTTTTACCTCTGCAGTAAAATTATTATCATCAAGAGGAAACGACTGATGAAGGATTCAGTTTTTTAAGTCTGCACTTTGTTTTGTTCTGTTTGTCATCAGGAGCAAGTCAACACATTTCAACAGAGGTTTAACTACTAACTCTTCCATGTGATTGTCTGCAGCCGCATCAACAGTGAACTACACATCCAGCCTGTAGGGGGAGCTCCAGTAAAGCTGTGTCGCTCCAGGTCAAAAACACGAAACATTTCTTCCTAAACAACAAAGTAAGTCCAGATGTGCTCGTCTCACCCAGACTGATGTCTGAGGCCTTGGCCAGAGGAGTGGCCGGCTCGTAGGGTCCGAGGCTGTGCTGCTCCCTCAGCTTGTTTCCCTGTTCAATCGACAGGATGACCGACGTCCTGTTGTACCACTGCCTCTGTCCGTCCCGCTCCACGCTGTAGAACAGCTCCTGGCCCTCGGACTTATGGCCCCGTACAACACCTGCACATTCAACAAGAAAACTGTTAAAGAACCAGAGGGTTTCCTCATCAGATATGAACAATCGGAATATTTACATAGAATATAATCCAAGTTGTTTTGACTCCTCCTCTTCCTCACCTATGCTGAAGTACTCGTCCTCGAGCAGGGCGGTGACCTCTGTCTCCAGAGGGATGGGATCACACAGCAGGATATCCTTCCCCACCACCTCGCACTCGTAGCCATCGTCAAATCGCAGGCGGAACCTCCCCTCCCCGGCGTCTCTGATGATGCGGCCTGAGTAGAAGTAGCCGTTAGACGACCACTTTGCCACCACACGCAGGCCGACGAAGCTGCTGCTGGCCGAGCTCGCCTCCTCTGGAGACGACCTGAGGGAGTCTGAGTGGCTGAGGAGCTCCGTGTCCGAGGGGCTGATGGGGAGACGTGGGGGGAGCATGCGGGTGAAGGGCTCGTCCTCTGAGGAGGACTGTGGGCGGCCATGAGCGCTGAGTCTCTGCAGGGACCCGACACCACCTCGCCTTAAGAGAAACACGGGTCTGATCAGCCACAGGAAAAATCACTCTGACCCACGGCTATTTTTACAATTCACTTCTCTCTCTGCGTCGACCCAAATGAAATCTTTCACACAGGAAACGTGTCAGAAGTGAAACTCTTCTCGTTTGTCTGCCTCTAAGAATTTTATGTGATTTAATCCTGATGAAAAAGTCTTTTTTTAAAAGCCATGTGCTCATTTAGTTTTCTAATAAAAACCTATTAAAGTACAACATGCTGCTGATGTGAGCGGTGCATTGTTTTACATTACTGCAGAAAGGATTCGGTTGATTCATGAATTTACCAAAGAACCAAACATTGACTGGTTCAAGCCGCTTTTCTCTGGTTTTCATTTACTATAAATCTTTGGCTTCTGGAAAGTTTGTCGGACAAACCAAGTGATTCCAGGTTCTTTACCAGAGAGAAATAACAATGAGTTGAGTTTCTTCAGTCTAAACTAGAAGCTAATGAGCAGATTGATAATGGAAATATATAAAACTTGAGTGTGAAGATCAGGTACAAGGAGATTAGTGAAAAGAGGAAAAGTAAAATGTTACTGGTAGAAACTGCAGGAAGTGTGAGTTTGTGCTCTCTTAGCGTCGGGGCGAGCCTCAGGGAGGACTCACCTGGACAGCGAGGCGCGCGACGGGGGCCGGCCCCTTCTGGCTCTTCCTCTGGGAGTCAGCGGGACGAAGGCCCGGGCCCCCAGGGTGCCATAGCCTCTGTCCTTCGTGACCACTGACCCTGCCCTTTGACCCCTGTGACCCCTCTGTTGATATCCACCTCCCCTCCTGGGACTGCGGACACACAGAGGGGACGAATGGAGCCGGTCAAGTTGCACAGGTACTGATCTGGGGACAGTCTCAAAAGGAAAAGCCGTCCTGCTAAAGAAGGACCCCGGATCTGTGCCTGGAAGCAACTTGTACCTGAGGCAGGCAGGGATCAGTGAATCACTGAGAGATGAGCGTGTTAGAAAGTCAAACAGGTGAAGAGGTGGATCAGGAACCAGCATGCATCACCACAGAGCAGAGAGACAGGACACAAGAGAACCAGTGACTGACGCGTGAGGGGGGAGGTTGTACCTGAAGGATCTGCCCCCTCGGCTGGACGGCATGATGAAGTCCGGCCTGGTGAAGCCGGCGCTGCTGCTGGTTCCTCCCGAGCTGTGCTGCAGGCTGGAGGCCTTGGACGACAAAGAGCTGATGTCACCCAGGTCACCGGAGGTCACAGAGCTGCTGCCCGTGCGACACGGGGAGATGTCGCTGTCCAACACGTGGCAGTCGACCACTGGCTCCTCGCTCTCCTGGTGACATCAAAGAGATCAGTGACGCTCAAGCTCCTCGTGTCACAAAGAAACTTTTCATCCTACAAAGTGTCACAATCACACATTCAACCAGAAACGCCTGAACACGAGTCTGCAAACTTCACAAAGACCATGAACGTTTATTCTCTAACTGGAGATAAAACTTAAACCTCAGACACTTTGAAATACGTGTTTTCAGTATTTGTAGCAGGATGTAGAACAACCTGTGAGAGGCGAAGAGACGCAGCTGTTACCTCAGTGACTTTACGATCCACCTCTTTGCCGTCCTCATAATAAACATCTGTAATGATCCGTGTGATGGTGGTCCGCACTTCCTGGATGGTGCGCACGTGTCTGCAGTGGGCGGGGCCTGTGGCTCTTCTAAAGGACGGAGACTCTGGCTCCACCTTTTAGAGAAGAACAGAGGAGTGTCAGATAATGATGTGAATGTTTCCAGACATTTGAATGCACATGGATCTCCGTACCCTTCCCACTGGAGAGCGCAGCCCCTCTGCATCGACGCCGGTCTGCTGGGAGAGCGTCCGCTGTCGGAGCTGAGACACAGAGAGGAGATTCAGCCTCAAACATCAACACTGAACAACACTTGTCTAGTTCTGTCTGAGAGGGAAACACTCAATCGTCTGTAATTTGAATATGTAGTAGAATAAATCATTTTACTTGTATTTTTCATGAAAGATTTTACTGAATATTTTGTTATGTGTTATTTTGCTGTTTTCTTTAATTCTTGGAACATCTGTGTTCCTGTGTGTTTTATGTGAAATCGATTCTTGTTATAAGATGATACCAAAACCTTTCAACATGAGAATCATAAACTCACGTTCGATCTCTACACTGATGCACAGTGACGGACAAACCTTGTTGGACGGACTGGAGCTGACGCTGTTGTCAAAGGACTTCTGGGAATTCGCCTTCTGTCTGGCATCTTGGCTGTTTGGTGTCGGGGGCTCTGAAGCGCCGGGTGGTCCTCGTCTCTCTTCTGATTGGTCAGCAGAGGTGGGGGTATTTACAGTCTTCTGCTGCGGTGCCGTTTCCTGTTGTGAAGGTTCTGATTGGCTGTTAGGCAGGCTGTTGCATCCCAGCGAGGAAGCCTGGGAGCTTCTCTGAGGTGAGGCGAACAGCTCCGCCCTGCAGAGACGTTCAAATGTACACATGTGATGCTGTGGGACATCTGGCTGACGACCAATAAAGATACAGCGTCAATATTAGAAGCTACCCACAACTTACATGAAGTTCCAGGAGCCATGTGTCTGAACCCAGCTACAGATCACAATAACCTACATGATCCCAGATGAACCCTGTTATCAAGTGTGAAGGTCCCTGACACTTTCCACTGAAAACTACAACCTGCACAACAACATTAAAGTTCCGTCAGAAGGGTTTCCTCTTCAAAATGGTGGATTTGTCCGTCAGGTTAAACGAACACCAGCAAAAAAAAGAGTCAGTTCAAAATGGAGTCCGAGCAGAGGCTGACACAGCCGACGAAGAGTTTGTCAGATGTTCCAACTGGTTCATTCAGCTGCTCTGCGGTGCCTCCTCCACTGTCTCAGTGTTAACTTTAACTTAACACGTCAGATCTGGTATAAAACAGATTACATGGTACTAAGTTGAACACAATACTTTACCGTCTACAGTGTAGAACCCACCAGCCGCTTCTCAGAGGCTCCGGTGAAGTTCATAGTGATGAAATCTTTTTTTAAACCTCGCTCCATTAGAACAGGTTTAAGACAAAGCAACTCTGCTCCAAGACTGAAGACTCTTGTCCAGATCCACATCGTCTGAGATTTCTCTCAACTATTTCTGACAAGAAGCAAGTGACTAAAAAAGAGAACTCAACTGCTGACCTCACTTTTCTAAAGCAGGGGGCAAAACAACGCCTCACATCGTCCCAGGAGAAGATTCACATGGTGCAAAAAATAGAAACCCCTCCCAGCTGCAGGATCCAGAAGTAGGTCTCACCCTCTGTAACATGCAGTGTCGACTAAAGCACAAGAGGGGGAATCTACTCATACTTCCACAGGTCAAATGGAGAGAATCTCAACAGATCACGTGTATATGAAGAAGATTTAAATTACAGATGACACACAGGTGATAACTCATTTTATACATCTGTGCCGTGTTTTCAATTAGTAAAAGCAGAGTCACCAAAGTGGCAATTTTTCAAACCGCGTCGTGCTAAAAATGGAACAGAAGTAGGACAACGGTGCAGACTGTTCAGATCACAGTCCCATACTGTCAGTTGATGCTCACTGATGCTGTTTAAAGTCTGTGCTTTAAACGCTGGTGAGAGTTAAATGAGGAAGTGGAACAAACAGTCGCCAGTGGAGCTTTGACAGTGACATTTCATCTGAACACAATTTAAACTAGAAGAGGAGAGTACAGGAGAAACGACGTCAGCCTTGGCGGAGGTACAACATGTAACAGCACAAGTAGCTTCGGCGCTGTGCTCACCTGACCGCTGTAGCGTTGTCTCCAGGCTGGTTGTCCTCCTGCTGTCTGTGCACCTGCCGGACTCGACTGAACACTGACGAGCTGCTGAGACATCAAACATGAGCAACGTTTTATTTCTGTGACCTTCTGCAGGCGACTGGAGCGGCTGTGGCTGAGGGGGCAGAGCAGGTGTCCTCCAACCAGAAGGTCAGCTGCTCAAATCCCAGCCCATGCCGAAGCGTCCTTGGGCAAGATGCTGACCCCCCCCCCCCCAAAATGGCCCCTCATATCATATGAATGAATGTGTAAGTCTCTTAGGATGAAAGCATCAGCTAAATGATGTAATGACTGCAGGTAACAAAAAGTGAAGCTGTGTGAAACAGGAGCTAACGAGGTTCAGAGATGTTTTATCAAAGAGAAGTTAGAGTCTTAACTTCTCTGACTTCTACAAGCGTGGCTCCTAATTTTCATACAGAGATATTTGTATTCTTTTAGTTTTTGTCAGATTTGTGTGTCACGTGTTAGAAATGTCATGAACACGCCAACTTGCTGGCAGTGAATCCTGTTGGAGGATTTCCTGCTGTGTTCTCAGACGAGCTCACGTTATCTTCAGGTTTTTTTCAGGAAAAGTTGCAGAAAAGTTTGTGCCATTTTAAAAAATGAATAACTATGGGCTAATAGCTTTACCTGGTCACAACCTTGACCACAGATGCATCCTCGTCTGACAGCGCCGGCTCTGGTGGAAATAAATATATTACTGAGAGGGCGATGAGAGCGTCTCCATGGAAACCATCTAGTCACTCCCAAGAAGAGAATGAACAATGAAGATGAGCAAGAGCAGATCTTACTCTGCAGACTGAAGGACTCAGAGCTGCCCTCTCCGACTGGGGTCACCAGCTTCATCCTCAAACTCAGCTTCCTGTCTCCAGGGTCCGTCCCATCCTCGCCACCTTCCCCAGACACAATGTCGCTGGCAGCCATCGCCACGTCTGCAGAGACATCACCCACATTGTCTGACTTCTCAGAAAAGATCTCTGGATAAAAGATACACAGACAAAGTTCAGCGTCAGATCGTGTTGTGCTACGTGACATCAGGCAGAGAAGCTGCTATGCAATGCTCTTGTGTGTGGAACCCACCAATGGGAGTGCTGTGTCTCAGCGTCTGCTTCAGCTGATTGATTAGAGGAGGCGTGGCTCCAGCAGCAGGACCAATCAGCATCTCTTCTTTAGGAAGTGTGAAGTGGAAGGAAATCTCTGTTGTTGAAAAACATAGTTGGAATCAGATTAGATCTATTTCAGTTCAGTTTCCATTAAAGACAGATTTCTTACAGTCTCCAACAGGGACGATGTTTATCAACATGTTGAAATCAGATTTGTGCAAGTCTCCCGTCACAGGCTGCACATCTGCATTTAGTTCATTAACTGTGAATTAATGGGTTTATTCAAATGTCATTGAAGGCTAATCTAAAGGGCGACCACTGACGATGACACAAAAGCTGTTTTCAAACAAGAACTGAACCAGACATGTTCCCGGCGTGTTCCTCACATGTTCATGACGTGTTCTGTATGTGAGAACAAATGTCTCTGGGCGTGTCTCTGAGGTTTCTAACACGTGACGGACGTGAAACTGGAAGAACACAAATCTCTCAGGATGAAGAAGAGGAGCCGTACACGTAGAAG